ATAATCGACAGGAAGAGCAGCATGTGCCTCAATCTGGAGAAGTTTACCTCCTTCATGGTAGAAAGTAACCTCACCGCAGGAGTTCTGGCTGTAGATGCAGGGGATCTCTGCTCACTACAACTGCATCTGGTAACTTTAAGCACGCTTTGCAAAGAAATGATCACAAGTCTCGGCAAGAACAAACAGCTGGATCAGACTCTGCCTCATTTGTTAGAGAAGGCCACTTCTGTCATGGAGCCAGCCATACAGGCTGTGCTGATGTGCAAGAGAAGTAAGCAGAGCCAGTTCTTTTCTGTTGAAATGGTAACAGTCATGATCAGGAGTGAACTAGAAATAGCCTCAATCTCTGAAAATGACAGGCAGGAGAAATATCCCACATGGCATTCTACCGAAGCTTTTGCCAGCAGATCTTAAAGGAACTCAGCCCAGCACCTCACCCTATGGACTTCCTCATTTCATCAATTCACTATCTCTCCGCATTCTACATGGCAGCGGAAAAGACCAAAGTGACAGATCTTGAAGAACTCCATATTAAGATTTTGCAGAGTATCCATGCGCTGCTGTCGGGTACAGTATCCTAAAACTTTTCGAAACATTGGCTTGACTTGAGTAAATTGATGCACCAATTTTTGTAAACCCTCTGCCTGCTCTGTAAACAGTCTGTCAATCATTTCAACAGGAACGTGGATGTCGTTGTCAGATGTGAAGAAGCTGGAGGGGCCAGTAAAGGAGCTGCTAAATCAGCTGGTGTCAGCTGTTCTCAAGAGCAGTTCCATCTATTACTGCTGATGCTCAGAGAGGGGCTTGTGCCAGCAAAGATTGAAGGAAGCCACTGCACTGTAAGATTCTTGTAGTGTCATAGTGCTTATTGTTATATGTAATAATTAGGGCTGGTAATTTAATGCGTTAATTAGATTAATTAATTATAAAATTAAAAAATAACATGCTAAAATTATTAATGCACTTGCCCCACCCTAGACCTATGTGGGTCATCTGACATTTCATACAGCTGATTGATGACAAATATGAGGCAGGGCAACAACTCACTGCTTGATGGAGCCTAGAGAACGTAGTTAGAATGTCCCTAAAATTGAAGATATGGGGCAAAAATGCCCGTTTGAGTTTTTGTCTCATATTTACTTCAGATAGTTAAGCAATTTCACACGAGCAATAGGCTAAGTGCAATGTCACACGAAATGTGATACTTATCTTATTCAACAGTTCAGTAAGAAGTTAATATTGTGTTATTTTAGACACAATGTTGTCTGTTTTGCTCAATTTTGCCAAAAAAAATATAAAGACAAAGAAGAACTCTTCGTCTCCATCTCCGAGCAACACACAGCAGCATTTCATTTCTTAATGCACGTTTTGAACGAATTGGGTGAACCATTTGGCACGATCAAACCCTTGGTCATAGGCGCGTTGGATTTGAAGCGGCGCTGCACAGACCGATCATTGTATGACATCAAAGTACCGCAAGGAGCCGCCTGCTGTCTATAGGCGCGTTTCCATTACAGATTTGGGCAAAACTTTGGCGATATTTTCTGATTGTCGATAAAAAAACAACAAAAATATAAAGACAAAGAAGAACTCTTCGTCTCCATCTCCGAGCAACACACAGCAGCATTTCATTTCTTAATGCACGTTTTGAACGAATTGGGTGAACCATTTGGCACGATCAAACCCTTGGTCATAGGCGCGTTGGATTTGAAGCGGCGCTGCACAGACCGATCATTGTATGACATCAAAGTACCGCAAGGAGCCGCCTGCTGTCTATAGGCGCGTTTCCATTACAGATTTGGGCAAAACTTTGGCGATATTTTCTGATTGTCGATAAAAAAAAGTATTGCGAAATGACGGCGTTTCCATTAACCAATGTTATGCGGCTAAAACGTAACCTTTTGCCTCTCGCGATAAGTCATGGCATCGGATTTTGGTGGGATTTTGACGGATTTTGGCTGTATTTATTCAAAGGAGGTTTATGCGTA